GGAACAGCCCCATTTGTCTAGCCATCCAAGCTGTGCTCTCTAAACACCTTTTCTATAATATGCTAACATGTATTCTTCTTCTCTAGGAGCCTGGTCCCCCACATGTTCAGCCCACCATAAAACCATGTGGTCCACACCAAGCTCCTAAAAATATACTATTAATCAAGATATGTGCACTCATTTTTCTCAATAGGCCCAGTACTCTTGGAAAGGTCTAGTGAGGCCTCGGTAATGGACTTGATGGTGTTATTGATTTGCATCCCATTTGGGGAAAATAGCCCCCCACCTACCATGTGGGCTGCATGGAGCTCCCTCTGAGACCACTCAAGCAGAGGTAGTTACCACTACATGCAGCACCCAAGTGATTTTCTGGGATTTATAAATGGGTATACACTTGAGTATATGAAATATAGAAGAAAGACATCCACTTTCCTGCTGGGATTGCTGATCTTGGAATATGTGCTTTGGGCCCATCTTCTAGTGGCCACCTTTCCTTAACACATGTCAGGAGCCTGCTTGTTGGACAGTCAAACAGAGAGCCTTGTCAAGTCCCTTTGTCCAGCCATTTCTGAAACTGACTTCCTAGACCAGAAGCAATCCATCCTGTTTTTTCTTAAGTAGTCTAAGTTGGGTTTTTGTCAACCGAAATTGAAAGAATCTGGACACCACATTGTGGGCATCTAAGGGTTAAAGAGGTTTGTGGCCACCCAGAATTCACGCCCATCTCTGAAGCACCCTCATTGTTTAGGACTTTCACCTCTCCTCCACTGAATTTGTTTAAGGTGATCACCAGTGCTGAAACCACTATCACCTTCACGTCTAGGTCACTACACACATCTCCACACAGACAAGGTAGGTTAGCCAGGAGTCTGATGTGCCAACCCTAGAACTTCGCCCAGACCCATCCACATCCTGCCTTTTCTTTTCCTCTTCTGATGGACATAGAAGGTCCAGGAAAGACCCCAAGACCCCAAAGGATGTCAGAAGCTCTGGAGGGAAGGTCCTGGACCCCACATGACCACACGGCATGGATCTCTGTGGAACTGTGACAACAGAGGTAAATAAGCTTTGAGTATGTTGGGCCAGTGAGGTTTGGGGCTGTTATTACAGCAATCACCTGGCCTTCACTAGTGGCACCTTGCAGAGCTACCCAAAAGCTCTGCTTCTGAGGGAATCTCAGCTTCCTACTCGACCACAAATATTGAGCTCTTGGTCTGTGCTTGTACAACCTCCCTGAGCTCCTCTTTCTCCCACGCTGCCCACGGCTGCCTCTCTTCACATCTGTCTTTTCCATATGGACCTTGAGTTTCCCAAGAGATCAGTCCTTATCTGTTTTCTTCCTTTGCACATGCTCTGGGTATGTAGTGAAGTGCTAGGTCCATAGCAAGTATGGGTCAGTTGGATTTGAGAATTGACCAAATGTACAATGGAGGTCTGTACAGATAAAATGAACTCACCAGGATAGCTCAATAATAGGATAGGCATGGCTTTCAGAGAAAGAGCAGATGTCAGGATTTTTCCTACCCCAAACCCTCCAGTATTCAGTACTCCCCAACCTCTGGCAGGTACCAAATTCTATGCAAGGGGAAAGATGGGAAACAGCTGCTTCTCCAAAGGAACCCCCATCACAGAGGCTCTGGGCTGCAGCAGGGGTGAGGCAACACTTCTGGAAACAACAATTCCAAGATTTGTGCTGAGAGAGCAGACTTCTCACCCCTGTCTAGGTGTGGAGGTGGGTGTGGGATGCCTGGCATGCCTCTGGGGTAAAGCATCCCTCTCGCAGTGTCAAGTCTCATGTCAAAAATGGTTAACACCTTGCACATCACCTTGCTTGCTCCATTCTGGTTCCAAGGATTTGGCCCATTCTCATGGGAGAATGTCTGACTCTGGGTGGAGTGAGGGTAGCCATGCTATGCCCAAGCAGAATAATGCAGTAGTTCTGTGTTATTTGGGCTCTGCAGCCAGAGTGCACAGGTGCAAATCCTGGATCTGTTTACTTACTAAGAAACTTAGGATTGAACCTTTCTGGGCTTCACTTTTCTCATCTACAATGGAATAATGGATAATACCCCCATTAAAGGATTGTTGCAAAGATGATTTCATTGCTTTGTGAACTAAAGGGGTTGTTTTAAAAACATCTTTGTTTTCTTCAGTAACTACCAACTAAACTGATATAAACAAAAACTCTGAAACATTCTTAGTAATATTCAAAAGAGTATAAAGGAGTCTTGAGACCAAGAATTTAGAAGCCACTGCTGCATGGCGATTTCCCACTAAACATGGCCTATTACTGACACTGGTTGACCACCTCTGTGTCTCCCTGAAGGCCCCAGTGGAGAAATGGTGCTCTGGCCAGCTGGCCAGCTTAAGCACCTTGCCCCAGAGCCATGAGGGTTCAAGTCCCCAGCAGCTAGATACCTCAGATCCTGCCAGTTACCACCTTTCAGGGAATTATACTCACCCTTCAAGGCTCACTCACTCCTGCCAGGTTGGTTGTCCCAACCACATGGCGCCCTTCGTCCTCTGAGCTCACATAGCACTTGTCTGGCCAGGGAAGTTGATGGCCAGTATGGTTAGATGGCTTTTTCTCTGGGTCTTCATCTTCCCCACCAGACTGCATGCTGCTCCTGGCTTTGCATTCAGCCAGGCTTTGCATTTGCAGGGATCCGAACTGTGTAACCCTGGGCAAGCCACTTCCCCTGAGCCTTTTCTTCATTTGTAAAATGGGACAATTGTAGAAGGGAGGCTTACGTGGACTAATTCATCTGTATTCGTTAGCTAGGACTGAGGTAACAAGGTAACACAGGTGGCTTCAGCCACAGGAATGATTTTCTCACAGTTGTCACAAATAGGAGTCCACGATCAAGGTGTCAGCAGACTTACTTCCTTATTAGCCTCACTCCTTGGCTTGCAGATGGCTGTCTTCTCCCTCGGTCTTCACACAGTCTGTGTCTGTGTCCTAACCTTCTTTTCTTTTTCATAATTTATGGAAAAGAAGACCTCCTTTTCAAATAAGGACAAAATATTGGATTAAGGCCCACCTTTGTGACCTCATTTTGTTATTACCTCTGTAAAGACCTTATCTCCAGTTATACTCATATTCTAAGGTACTGGGAGCTAGGACTCCAGCACAGGAATTTTCCAGGAGCATACAATTCAGATACAAGAGCATCTAAAACATTCCGCCCGGGGCTGGCACCTATGTCAGAGCTGTACTTCTCTTCCCTCTACCCAAGAATGCAGGGCAATGATCAGCGACCTGGGCCAGGGGTCAGCCACCGAGCCTGAGCTGTCCAGGGAGAGGCATGATCTTGGGCCAGGCTTTTTTCTCAGCCGGAAAATGCCCAAAGGGGGCTGTCTACTGGACTTACTGGGCACCCACCATGCCATTACTAACTTTGTGATCTTGAATCAGTCCTTTGCTTTCCCTGAACTTTAATTCTCAAACTAGCAAAAGGAAGGAAATGCCTTGCAGAATGACAATAGTGACATAAGATCACAATTGTGATTTTTATTCATGCAACAATTATTTTTATTGAGCTCCTACTGTGTGCCAGGTACTATTCTGGACTCTGGGAATATATAGCAGTAACCAAAACAGACAAAAATCCTGACTCTGTTACAGCTGACATTATCCTAAGAACTGTAAGACATTAATACAAATAAGCTAGTAAATACATAGCCTATCAGATGGTGTTAAGTGCTGTGAAGGAGTAATAATTAAAACAAGAACAGGACTCAGAGAATCTAGGAGAGGCATGGTGGGAGTGCTGCAGTCTTAAATAGGATGGCCAGGGAAGGCATGTCTCTGCAAAGACTGGCCAAGGTGAGGGACCATGCAGATACCTCGGTGAAGAGCTGTGTAGCCAGAAGAGCCACGGGTGAGCCGTTGCTGCCACTAAGTGAGCAAGGAAGGAGACCAGCCCCCAGTGAGGCTGGAGTGATAGCAGGGGTCAACCACAGCAAGGCCTCACGGGTCACTGTAAGGACCTCGGCTTTTCCTCTGCAGGCAATGGGACTGAGCTGAGCACAGGAGGGTGCGTGACCTCACTTTGATTTACTAACAGAGCATAACCCAGGTGACAAGCTGAGATTGCACCCAGCTCCTCAGCTCACAGAGGCCTGCGTGCTTCAGTGGATATCTGTTTCTGGCTTCTGTGCCCTCAAGCCCTGTTCAGGCCCACCCATGGCACAGATATGCCATGTCCCCACACATGCACCCCACCCCACAGTCAGCCTGGTCAGCCTCACTTTGTCCCTCACCTTTCAGCATGTACTTCACATATCCTTGAAGCCAGCTGAATCCAAGGTCTGCTCTTATCTATCCACTGTCTGAGAACCAAGAAGCAGTTAGAAGCCAGGTCTGGTCATCCAAGTGCCGAGTTGGAATGCTTGCTACTTAGAATCTCTGTGCTTCCGTAAAATGGGAGTAAAATAACGAACCATTGAAAAGAGACCTAATTGTGTAAAACACAGCATAGAAAGATGATATGGATAAGTGATCAGCAATACTTCAGCTCGTCTGTGTGGTCACAAGATTAAAGAAGTAAAGCTTAAAGGGCACATTGCCTGCCACCATAGGAGAAGGTACGGCGGTGTTCACAAGGCGTGCTTCTTAACCCCACCCCACTCAACATGAGATCTATATTTGAAAATAGGGCTGGAGTTATGAATTTTATTAGTCATCTGTCCACAGGGCTGTGGTGTAGTATAAGGGCTCTATACAGGAAATATCCTTGGGAATGTTCTGGCATATTCTGTAAATGTCAGCACCCATCATGCCATGTGAGAAGGACCTCCATGCTCGTCTGCCATCCAAGCCTGGGGGAGGATGCAAGCAACGACCAAGAGTACATGTGTCACAGAAGCCTGGTATACAGTAGGGACTTGGCAAATGCTCACTGGAGGCAGCATGAGCCCAGCCAGAGACATGGGTGCTGGCTGGATGTGCAGTTCTCTCTGCCCCTCTGCTTCCTCATCTCTGCAATGGGAGGAGTCACTCCTCCTGGCAGAGCCAATGCAGTGGTGCTCATCAGACACAGTAGCATCTGGATTGAGCAGACTTGGGAGTGCACTAGTGTGGGTCTCAGGATGGGGACACCCCACAGGACCTGGTGAGACTCACAGGAGCCGGATGGTCTGTAATAGAAGGTAAGGACTGTGAAAGGGGTTACTGTGTGTGTCTCATGGATGACTCTGTTTGATAGGTTTGCTGTGGACTCAGGGAGGAACACTCGCTGGGAGCCCTTCTTCTTTGCCCCAGTTTAGGGTAAAGGGGCCCTGGGAATCCCTTTGAGGAGGAGGCCCTTCTCTGCCTCCTGGGCTTTGTGAGTGCATCCCTGCTGCAGAGCACTCACAGGCACCAGGATCCTGCTTGGAACACTTTTACTGTATCCTTGCAGAAACCTCTTAGACATACACTGGGACAGATAGTCATATCACTGTTTTGCAAGTGAAGAAATCAAGACACAGAAAGGTCCCAGAATCACATAGCTATAAGTGGTGGAGCCAATATTTGAGCCTAAGACCAAGCCCCTGGATGAGGTTTCTGCCTAAAAGACATTTTTGCCAGCCCAGTAGCTAACACCATGACCCCTAACAACACTAGCCACCAGGGTTCAAAACTAGGTTTCCTCCTTTGTTCTCCAAGCCTCAGTTTCCTAATCCAAAAAAAGAAGAGTCACAGAACCCCCTCATCAGGCGGTGGGGAGGCTAAGTGAGGGGCTATGTTTGGAGTGACAGGCAATTGGGAGTCACTAACAGCTCGCTCTAATCCTCCCACATTACCCTTCTTTCAGTCCTGCGCTTGGTGCTACACACGTCTCTAGCTTTCTTATTTCTCTTGCTCCCTGCCATCTCTTCTGAGGCATATCTGTCTTGCTTTGAAAAGCTTCGCTTTGTCACTTTCCTCTATTTCTCGCTCCCTTCTGGGTCCTAAATCCTGTCTATGCGTTTACTCGCTGTATAAACTTAAGCAAGGGCACGGGCAGCCCTCGGGACACACTGGCCACGCTGACTTTGCCCCTTAGACAATTCTCCTCCAGTTTCAGCCTAGAGGATTGGATCCTGCAGGTCAGGGACAAGGCAGGGACTCTGCCTTCCCCACCACCAGCTCCTACTCCACCTCCCAAGTGAACTCTTCCCCTATACACTGAGAAGTACCTACATCTGCCCTGTTTCCTCACCTGTAAAATGGGGTTAATCAAAACCTACCTTCCAAGGCTATAAAGGTGAAATGATTTCTCTGGAAAACAAGCATATCCTTTTTCCTGCCCCGGCCTTGTATAATTTCTTTTGTCTCTGTCTCCCATTCTCTTTTTCTTTCATGCCATTCTTGCTCCTCTCTCTCCTCCCACTCCCCACTTAAGAAGTAGACGCAACCCCACAGCCCAAACTGAAAAATTGACCACGGTGACCCTTCCTCAGGGACTAGAGGCCCCAAGACCCTGCAAATGGCTTGCCAGGCTCCTGTTTCCACCCTTTTCCACTCAGGCTGTCCCCAAGATCAAACCTCCTGCCCCTGTAGCCCAGGGACGATGGGGCTTCATTGTGCGAGAATGGCCCTGCTGCTATGGAAACCGGTGCTCAGGAACCGCTTTGAGAAGATCCATTCCGTGGAGCAGCCTGGCCTTGGGGGAGGGGAGAGGCCAAACCGCGTCTTGGACTTTGCCCTCCCATTACTGGCCGTGTGGTGCTGGGCGAGTCACTTAACCTCTCTGAGCCCTCCTCCCTCTTCCAGGCCTGGGATCCGCAGCCCCCATTAGCGATGGGTAATAACGGCCCCAATGACTGAATGCCACTCTGCGGCTTTCAAGCCTGAAGACACGCCAAATTGCCGTTTGCTTTCATTACCGCGAGCTCAAAATATTCCAGTGCCAGCTTGCTGGGCGACCCTGTGCAACCGAGGGCCGAACGATTTCCATGACAGAATTCCCTCTCGCAGAGGTGTGCAGTTCGTGGGTGTGCACCTCTGTGCACCACCAAGTCTAGAGCACAGCTGCCCTGAGCCCCAACCCTGACTGAGACCCTGGTAAGAAACCCTGGAGCCGCAGTTCCTCTGCTAAAAAGGAAAAGAGAAGTGAGCATGGTTGCATCCTGATTACCCTATCTGAGCCCGGGCCGCAAGACCAGGGAAGTCATCCAAAGATGCTGATTCCATGAAACATCTCTCCAGGCTCTCACTCAGTCAGGCCTACGCCCGAGTTCACCAGCTCCACCCCTGGCTATATGACTTCATCACTCTGGTGCTAGAAATGCCATCCCTGAGAAGGCAGGGGATGTGTCTTTGCTGCCATTGGACTTCGGATACCCACAGCCTGGCCCAGGGCCTGTTCCCCTGCGGGCTGTAGGACAGGTGAGAGCTGGCGATATCTGATAACTCCTTTTTCTGCATCCTCACACACATTTCACTATCCATAACACACTGCACTCAATAACACAATAACATTCACAGTTGTGTTGTGTACATACAGCAGCCTCCCACAAACACACATCCACTGTGTTCAACAAGGATCAGTCCTGCTGGCAATCTGGGGTTCCCTGAACAAACCACACACTTTCCCACCTCCTTGCTTTTGTCCCTGAGGTTCCCTCCTTGGAGAATCCATCTCTGGCCTCTTGACCCTGGGCCCCACCTCATTCACTAACTCTCCTGACTTTCAGAGAACACTTGACTTGCCCAGGATCACACAGGGAGTATGTGGTCATAGAGTGTGTTAGAAGCCGAGCCTCCCGGGATGCCGAGTCCAGCTGCTCCAAAGAGCATCCGTGCATTGGTTCCGCCAGCCAGGCTGTTTATTTGTTTTCCCAACAAACATTTATTATGCCCCAGGCAGGCTGCTCCAGTGCTGGGGACCCAGCCATGAACATAGCCAGCAGAGAATGAGACAGCACACAGCCGAGAGAAGCAGACAGATGCTAAACAAGTAATTACAAGTGTGATGGATGCCACAGAGGAAAAGCAAGGGGAGCCCCTGGGAGGGGACAATAGAAGGATGCCAGTGTTCCCCATTTGTGTGAAAGTTTGGGGCAGCCTTGCCCAGAGGTAGTCCTGCCCACACGAGTCCCCTTTGAGACGCCCCCATGTGTACAGACTCAGTTGCTCGGGAGGAATAGTTCTTTTTGGATTCACACCAAGGAAAAGCAGACTGAAGTTGGCCACGTTCGAGGGGCTGGGGGAAATGTTTTCTAATTATTCACTACATCCTGGGTGGCTCATTCCCCCTGCCCGAATTCTGAAGCATGCAGAATTAACCCCAGCTTGCAGATGGGTAAATCAAGGTCTAGAAGAGCCCAGTGACTCATGCCTGCTGAGCAGGGATTTGAACCCAAGCCTTTCACACTGCACATCTCCAGGAAGGACCTTAGAGGTGGCCGACTCCCAGCAGCCCAGAATGCATTCCTGTTGCTTGCAGGTAACAGGGAAAACAACCAGCACTTGCTGAGCCAGAGTTACCCATCACAGGGCGTTACCTGCACTTTGTGAGAGCATTTTAACAATGAGTGATAACACTGAACATTGCCTTGAGTGGGTGTCCAGCCAGGTGCCTCCAGCTACCAGGCTGTGGGTACATTGTCTACCCTCATGAGCTCCATTTCCCAACTATACCAGAGGGGTGATGTGATTGTGAGAATTTCCAACACCGGGTCTCTCGCCTTCACTCTCCCTCTCCATCCCCTCACACCAGCCACACTGGTTCCTGACTCCTCTCAAATGTGCCAGCTCCTCTCCTTGCTCAGCAGCTTTGCATATGCTGTTCCCTTTGCTGGGCACTCTTCCTCCACACATCTACCTATCTCTTTAGAAATGTCACCTTTGCTTAGAGAATTCTCCTGACCACCTGGCAGAAATCATGCATGTACCCTGGATACCCCTCAGCCTGCTTCATTTTTCTGGCTTGCAATATGACCAGCTCTTACCCTCATCTCCCCATACCCTAGGGGAAAGGCTTTGTGGTTCATAGTTTTTTCCCAGCCAAGGCATTTGACCAGGGCCCCCTAGAGTTAACAAGCACTTAGGGGCTCAGTACAGGCCTCTGTACCTCCCGTTGCCATGCAGACCTGTGGCAATCAAGATGCCCCTGCCCCCAACCCTAGTGGCAGGGTTGGTTCCAAGCATTCTCCCCCTAGCCTGGTGGACAGCAGAGCACAACTGTGACTGTGCAAGCTTTCTGTCTTTGAGGGGGTACCCACCCAGGCTGTACGAGTCACAGAAAAGCCTCCAGAGAAAGGGTCAGTGGATCCCCCTGGGCCTCTGCTGGCGCCCTGGAGCTGGCAGGCAATGGAAAACCAGGCTTCAGCTTGGCAAGGCCTGGGTAGGGGCTCAGTGCCGAGGGCCAGGACCTTGCCAGGCTCTCTTCCCCAAACAGCTACCAATTGTCCTGGTGGCTCCTGAGTTCCCTGAAGACCTCCCCACTGTCACTCTCTCATGGGGACACCCACTCTCAAAGGGGCTACAGTAGGCCACTTCCGGCTAGTCAGGAAGACTGGACAGGCATGGTGGTCCCAGCCTCCCAGTAGGCCCTGGGACTTCCAAGCCCTGCTGGGAACTGACCGCCTGGGACTTGGCAAAGAGCAAGTGAGGACAGATCCTAGGAGGTGGAGCAGAGCAGGCCTTCCTCCTGGTATTGGCATGCAGGTGCTGGCCCCAAACATAGCTGGAATCTCAACACAGAATAAAACTCAGGAGAACAGCCTCCAAGACAAACGGCCCGCAGGCAGAGATGACAGCCATTCTTGCTCCCCCAGGCTTGGGTTACTTCAGGCTACTCTGATGGGTTCATCCAATCCTCACAACAAGGAGGTGGGAAGAGTGGGGCCCCTATTTCCCCATCTCTTCTCAGAAAGGGCACTGAGGCATAAAAGGAAACAACTGACCTAGAAGAAAGGAAGGCAGGCCTAGAACGTAGGCCTTCCTATAGCAGAGGCAGCACCTTCCCTGCTCAGCACATTCCAGCCCTCCTGTTACAGGGCTCAGGAAGGGTGTTTCCCAGACCTCATGTGGCCATGACAAAGCCTCAGTTCTCAACCCCAGAGCAACAGGTCTGAGGCTAGCTGCAAAGAATTGCATTAGAATAGGGTCGAAAGCTTCTTGAAAAGCTCACCCAGCCCCAGCCCAGCCCCAACTCAGCCCCAGCAGAATTGGGCAGTCTGCCTTTCTCTTTTTTTTTTTTTTTTAATCAGTACCGGGGATTGAACTCACAACTGCCTGCTTGCAAGGCAGGTGTTTACCGCTGAGCTAAATCCCTAGCCCCCTTTCTCATGAGCCCTTGCTGATTAGGAAGCACACCTGGGTTTGAGAACCACCAGCTGGAGGTAGCACTGGCCTAGACTGAACCAGCTTGGTGTTTGTCAGGTGGATAGAGCCTTGACAAGCTTCCTAGGTGGGATCTCCAGACGATAATAATGACTGCTACTTTGTGAGCTGCCAACAGGTAAGGGGTGCTAGGTAGTAGGAACAAGTTGCAATGTTCAGGGCTTCACGCTCATTTCATCCACAGCACAACTTCATGCAGGAGGCAATATTGCTTCCTTCCCCATAGTACATAAGAGAACACTGAGTCACCGGAAACTAAAGCTCTCTCATTCATGGTTGCCCAGCCAGAAATGGCAGAGCCAGGATCTGAACCCAAGTGGAGGCTCCAGAGCCTTTTCTCTTAGTCCCCCATTACCCTGTGTCCTGGAGCCCACAGTCTAAATAAGAAAGAAGCATGCAAAATCATGGGAGTACGCATTAAAGTGTGTATATGGGCTGAGGAGGCACACAGAGTCTCCTAACCCACAGAAGGAAACTTGTCAGAAAAGCCCTCTGACGGATGAGTAGGAGTTGGCTGGATAGCGGTGGCGAGAATGGTGTTCTTGGCAGAGGGAGTAAGTGTGTATGTATTGAGGCATTTCAGAGAAATGCGATGTAACAGCCAATGGATGTGGGGGAATGTTGGTGACTTAGAGACCTTGAGGATGTCCTGGCGGAGGAGCTTGACTGCACACCAAGAATGCCAGCGAGGCTACTGAAGGGTGGAAGTTGCAGTCTGCCTGTAGAAGCAGCCTGAGGCAAGGGCAGGTCGCACTGCAGGCTGACACTGTGAACCAGGTGGCCAGGAGATGGTGGGGCAGAGTAGGGCAGGGACAGAGGAGCAAAGGCTAAACAGACGAATAGGACGGGTCAGGACTATGGGGAACAAGAGGAGGGGGCAGGCAAAGGGCTCTGTAGACAGTCTGGGGGCTGCCAGGACAGGGGCACCTAGAGTAAGAATGGGCAGGGCAGCCTGTGAGTTCCTTGGTGGTGGTGCAGAGTTTGGGCCCCATTGGACATCCAGGAGAGTGTCCAGGAAACCACTAGGGACACCTTGGAAGAATTCAAGGAGGTCTGCAGATGGGTGAGGTCACCGCCAACAGGTGAGTGAAGTCGGGGAGGCTCCAGGGCCACATTCTACATCCTCCTCCTCTTCACGTCTACATCTGGAGGGCAAGGAAGGGCCACTCGTCCTCCTGTCCTCTGAGCTGCACACAGCTGTTCAGGGCAGGTTTGCATTTTTTCTAGACAATTGCCAGGCATCCTGTGTGCACTGGGTTGGGTAAGTTGGGCACTGTGGAATCCTAGGACAGAAGCTTTCAAGGGAGCAAATTCTACAGCTCCTCCTCTCCCCACCCCACCCCCACACCACATATGCATCCCCCTTCCTGGGCCCCATGTGCTTGCACTGTGGCTGTGAGCAAGGTACCGCACTCCCCATCTGCTTCATCTCTACAAAGACCTGCTAACACAGAGCTGCTCACGGAGTAGGATATACAGGGACCCACAACTAGGCTAGGCAATGCATGAAAAGTGGGGTGCAGGTGCGGCTCCAGACCCCAACTGGACCCCTACTTTGAAGGCTACACAGCGTATAGGTGCCTTCACTCCTACATTTCCAGAGGAAACAAAAGGGTATGCAATCACATGACAACATGCCAAATGCTGAGCGCAGTGGGTCCCTGGTATATCTTTTAGTTACTCCGTAAGGACTGGTGCCATGAGGCAGTCCTGTCTTCTCACAGAAGAAGGTATCTTGGACCCCTCCCTCCAGGCCAGCCCTGTGGGGACTGCACATAGGCCTGTGCCAGCTGGGACCCTTCCTCCCTCCAGGGCTAGAGTCTTGGTGCCTGAACAAGAGGCTGGTAGGCTGGGTCTCAGGCAGATTAGAGCTGTGGAGCTCATGCCACAAACAAAAGGTATTTGCATCAGATAATGATAAAGTGTCTTGTTATCCACAGTTATGTAGCAAGGACTGCAGCAGACAGAGGGAACACTGGAAACCCACAGGATAAGCAGGGGATGAGATCGCTAATCACCAATCAGCCTGGAGAGTTCATGGGTGCCCACCAGTCTGGACAGGAGCTCCAGAGGGCTGCATTTGGGCAGAGGGTAGTGGGTGAGGCTGGGCCACAGGCAAAGACCCAGCTGGCTGCAAAATCAAAAAGCATATCCTTGCCCCCACCCCCGCCGAGTTTCCCCTGATGGGGTTCTGAGTTCCCAGAACTCAAACTGATGAAAATCTTAGTATTCAGCCTCCTAAGTAAAAGCTTAGGTGCTGAGCCAGAGGGGAGGAATTGAATCGCTGCCCACCTTCTACAAAGTGGTGAGGTACACATGCATTTGATCTTGCTGGGCTTTCTATAAAATGGGACAATATTACCATAGGTCATAGATTAAGGCTATGTCAGTCATCATCTAACAAGTTCCATGGAACATGCCAGGCACTTTCAAGGTTCTGGAGATTCAGCAAAGAACAATATGACTCTGAAAAAACATTTATATCCCAGTGGAAAGAGGCACAAAAAAATAACACAAATGCTAGAAAATGATAAAAGCTGTGAAATGTGAAAGTGGGATTCCAGGTGGGTATGAGCAGAGAGCACTTTAGAGAATGCTGAGGAAAGGCCACACTGAGCAGTGACATTGGGTCAACGGGCTCTGAGAAGACGGTGTGGCTGAAGCGGAGTGGGCAGCAGGGACAGTGCGAGTTGAGGATGCAAAGGAAGGAGTGACTGGTCACACGAAGCAGCACCGGAGTAGTATCTGGGTACAATTTTAAGTGCTATGGCAGCTGTTGGAAGTTCAAAGCAAAGGAGCGATGTGATCTGATTTCAGTTGTTTCGAGGCATCTGGCTGCTGGTGAGGGAGGATGGAGGGGGCCTCTGGGTAGAGGGGTGCAGAGAAGAGGCTCTGTGCTGGTGGATGAGGACAGAGCAGGGGAAGGTGGGCAAAGGTGGTGGGCAGAACAGGGCTGGGTTCTAAAGGTGCTGTCAATGGATCCTGTGAATAACGATTAAATAGGAGAAGGAAAGTGGACAGAGAAACCCAGGGTCAAATGAGGCTGTCTGCTGGGCAAGGCTTATTTAGATGGCACCTGACACACAGCCCTTAGCAAAAGTGCCTTGATCTACCCTAAGCACAGCCTTCCAAGGGGACGCGAGACCTGCAGATCTCTCAGAGCAGCATTTTGGCTCCACGTTCCAGAGGAGGCCAGTTGATCTCATCGGGAAGAATGGGGGACTTTCTGTGCTAGGAGGGGTCAGGAAGTCGTGTCCAACCTGTGGAGTCAGCACACCAGGTAGGTGCTTGCCCAAGGTCACTGAACTGGTTAGGGGAAGAGAAAGAATGAGAAACAAGTGTCCCAGTTCTGTGAAACCCTCTGTGGGATCTGGAAAGTCTGGGATTCCCAGGCGTGAATCCTGGCAGCACTTCCCTGCACATCCGCTGAACCACAGGCAAGGAAGTCTATTTCCTGACCTCTCTTGGAGACCACACACACAGTTACAGTAGCAGAGTCCAACCTCAGAGCCTCTGCACTTTCTCCGCTTCCTGAACTGCCACAGGTCACCTATGACTGCCGCAGGTCACCCGTCCTCTCTCTACCTCTCACTCCAGAGTCCTGTTTCCCCACCCTGGGCAGGAGCTCTGGCCCTCTGAGGATAATGTCGTTACCACTGTCTCATCGTCCATAACTGACTGGGAAGAGGTATCCCCAGTCTTAAGCCAAGGGCAGCTGGCATGGCTGCCTAAGCCCGCTCCATGGCACTGCAAGCCCCCATACAAACTGGCTTTGGCTCCTAGTGGTCAGAGTCCAGCAGAATTCCCCCTTTCTCCATCCTCGGATATGAGTCAGGGAATGTCCCGCGAACATTCTTCCTCTTTTCTCTCCTGGCAGGCAAGGAGAGGAGGAGCTGGTCCCCGAACTTCCTCTTCCTGGGAAAGTCTGCCAGGAGCCTCCACCAACAGGCAACCTCATCCCCTTGCTTCAGGGCCCAGCCTCAAGCTGGCTCACACTCAAGACCTGGGCTTTATGCTTAACCCAAAGCAGTCCATGCCTCACTCGAGGCCAAGTTCAGACAAGAGGCAATCAGGGGCTTAAGTGACGGCCAGAAAAGGCCAGCCACTGGTTATTAAATATTAAGTGACAAGAGCCTGTGAAAATATAATTGCAAATGAGACTCTGAAGCAGATGTCGCCAACAGCTTGGACCCACGTTTGCAGTTGGGTCCAACAGGATTTCAAGTCACCAAGCTGGGCTGCTGGCAACTTCTTTGCATTTTCCAGGCACATGTTGGGTGCCAGGCCTTAAACTAGAGACTCCAGGTAGAAGATCAACTCGACATGGTGCCAGCTTCAAGAGATCCCATGCTTGGTGAAGAAGACAAAATAAGTAAAATCTCACAGACACAGGCAATTCGAGGGCTGGTACCACCCTGGAAGGGCCTGAGGAGCTGAGGCTTCAGAGGGTGAATGATCTACCTGTAAAGGGTTGTCATTCAACAACCTCTCATTCAATACCTCCTGTGTGCCAGCTGTGGCAGATCGAGCCCTGTCTTTCTTGGCACAACTGGGTGGGAACTGGCACAGATAAATAAGGATGTCCACAGTAAAGAAGCAACAAAGGAAAAGAGTCTGTGAGAAGTGAGGACTTCAGTGTGGCTGGACATGTGTGGGAGAGAGGGAGGAAGCTGTCATATCAAACAGCTTGTCTGAGTCCTGGGAAATTTCAACAAACCGTGAGGGACAGTGTATGGCTCCTAGGGCTCCTGAGAAAAGACATAGTCTGGTCTGCTCTGGTCTAAATCTGCTGTCCTGAGAAGTAGTAGGAAGAGGAAGAAGAGGAAGAAGACACGTCAGTGGACACCCAGTCTACGGAGGCTGCCTGGTTATCTGCCCACTCCAACCTACATCTTGACATGGGTTCCTCAGTCTCCACCTCTGAAGGACCTTGCAGGAGCCAAGTGCTTTCCTTTGGCTCTCACCTGCAGGCTTCTTCCCCAGCTCCTGAACTGCTTGAAATACATTCTGAGGACACAGAAGCCTTTGTGCTGCTGGGAGCATTGTCCCTGCAGAAGGTGACCGGGATTGATAATGAGATCCCAGACCACGAAAGCAACAAGTCCTTGCTGAGTGAGGGACGATCCTAGTTCAGTATTCCCAAAAGAAATCCTAGCTGGTTGGACCTCCCTCCATTGCCCTGGGGGAAGGGGGTGATGAGCTTTAAAGATCATTGCCTGGTCATGAATCTATGGGAAGAAAGACTGGAAAGGGAGAGGAAGAGAAGGGCTGCATTTGAAAATACTAAGACTCCAGGATTCCAATTCTTGAATATAGTTCTAGTAGTCTAGCACTGCATTAGTGTGAGATTCTAGAATTCTGTAGATCTAAAATGCTGTGATTCTAGAATTCTGTGATTCTAAGACTCTAAAGTGATTTGGGGAAGAAAAACATCCTCGTCATGCTTCTTCTTAATAGAATGCATGCTTCTGGAGTGAAGTACACACCCAGAACTGCAAAGCCAGGCAGGCTTGTTTCCCTTTTTCCTGCCTTTAAATCATCTCACTCCTCTCCTCTGTGTGTGCTCATCACATACCCCTCCTAGACCCTCCCCCAGGCCTGGCAGCCACACATTTGCCATCTGCATATAAACCAGTGATTAGCACCGTGAAGCAGGAGAGGAGGGTGTGGAACCCTTACTGCCTGCCAGTCAGCAGGGGTGCAGGAAGTCACCCCAGCTCCCCAAAAGGGCTGAGCAGGGGAGGAGGGATGACACAGTAACACTGTCTCACAGTAAAACACATAAAAGAAGACCCCAGGCTTACAGATACACAAAGACATAGAGAGACATGTCCACCACATACCTGCATGTGTATGACATTTATACATGTGCAAACAACCAAAGACACACAACCCCACACTGATACATACCCTGACACACAAGCATGCAAGAGTACAAAGAAATACACAGCACACATGATACTGGCAGACACACACACACACACACACACACAGATAAACCCATGCAAACAAGCCCAAGTTTGTAGATACACATGCAGTTACACAAATCCCACATCCTCAAGGGGACAATGACACTGAGCTGCTGGCACTACATGAGTTGACAGGAGAGTCACCCTTCCCATCCCCATCTCCCATTCCTACTCATTCATGGCCCATTATTTAAGGACTATGAGGTACCCAGCCTGGCACTGGACCCTTGGGAGAGTCTACGGCAGGGTAGAGGCAGGAAGCAATTCAGTCAGGCCCTGGAAGCAGGGTGGCAGCTGGAACCCAGGGAACCATACAAAACTGATTGTCCAGAAATGTAGTGAGCTCCCCATCACAGGAGATAATCTAGTTTCTACAGAGGATTTTGTTGTCAGATGGGTGAGTGGGTAGAGGTCTGAAGACCTCTATTCCTTCCAGACCGCATATTTCTATCAATTCTGCAGGGCTTCAAAATAGTGGTCTTCACCTTAGTTAGTGTTCCAATACCAGGAGCTCTTGTGGTAGTGGCACAAACCCCTACCACATAGCCATCAACTGCCTCGGGTCTCCACGTTCCTGCTGTAGCTGGAGCCTGTGGCCCTGCAGACTACTGACTAGGCCGTGCTGCCTCTGGCAGGGGACTATCTCCATGGGCGAGCAGTCACCGAGTGAGTCCTGGGAAGCCAAGAGGGAACAGCACTAGTGGACCTTGTCAGGACCGGTCTAAGAGGAGTTGCTTAAGGGCAGACACATATATATCCCTGCGCACGAGTTTTTCCCATAAAAACCCACGTTTACCTTCACCCCCACTGTCTTGTTTCTTTTGAGCCCTGGTTAGGAGCAGACTCACTGAAATAGGATCATAGGCCTGACTAAACCCTAAGATTCTAAGGCTCCATGTTTCCTTCCTGCTTAGATAGGTTAAGAACCCCCCAGATCTTCCCAGGAAGCAGGAGGAGAAAACATCCTCACTGCTTCCCAGGGAGAGTCCTACCCTCGCCAGAGGTCACTCAGAAATTTATGGTATACAGGATGGAGCCAAACCTAAGGCCTCCTGTCCTGGGGCTGGTTCTTTTTAAGTCCCAATTTTTTCAAGGTCCCTGTCCCAGAGAACTCGGACTGGACAGGACGGTGGGATGGCAACTGGAAATAGCAAGGGGGCCACACGGCCCCTTCTTCACTTCCCCAGGCTGTGCTGATTGGAGCCAGCTCTAGGGAGAGAGAAAGGGACCCGTACAAGTTGGGCTAAACCTAGGCTGGTTTGTCCTAACCCCAGCCCCTAAACAAGTCTTCTCAGGTAAAAAAACTCATTCCCCTAGTTATTTTTCCAAATGTGGAAGACAGTTAAGATTTAGATGTACTGAGCCAACTGTTGTCCTGCATCCTCACAGCACCTCTGCAAGGCCTGCACACATGATAAACCTGAAGGTGAGAAAACCTGAAGGCCAAAGGGGTTGAGTGATTTTCCTAAGGTCACTCAGCTGGTTGAAAATAGCAGTTCATCACCCCATTGCAAGTCTCCATTACCACACTGTCAGAGCTCGGCACTGCAAGGGCCACACAGTCTCTGACCTGTCCCCTGGGCAAAGCCCAGGGTGCTGTGGAAGCAGCTGTCAAGCAGGGCTTGGGCTTGAGTTGTCCTGAAGCTGGGTTTCCTCCGTTATCTCTGCCTGGGAGCTGCCAGCTCTCCTGACTCAGAAGGAAAGGAGGGCCGGTGGGGGCCAGCAGAGGTCACCCTGAGAGGTTTGCTGTCACCTTGCAACCCAGTACCAAATCAGAAAGAGATCATTTCCAGGAAACAAACTTCAGCTGTTTTCAGGAAAAACAGGAGGCAAGACAAAAATCTCAGTTACCAGAAAGGCCCTGGAGAGACTGGAAGAGGAGGCTTCCAGGAAGCCACCAATGGAGCTGTTGGATTCCAAGCCATCCTCCTGCCTACAATCCGGCCCCTCTCAGCACCAGGAAGCCAGCCAGGGCCTGGAGCTGGGGAGGGACCACTGACACTGCTATGGGCAGAGCCAGAGCCTGAGCCTCTTCACTTCTGACGGGGTGCAGTTGAGGGTAACAGCCTCGCCTGGGCTCCTCCATCCATATCACTCAGAGGACAGCTGATGAGGGATCAGTTTCTCATGCAGAACAGGGAAACCGGGAACTAGAAGTTACTTTCACAAAGATACAGAAAGTAATGTTAATCATTTGCTTAAGATTAAGATAAATGGGTCATGTAAGGACTGACAAAATCAAACAAGATGGACCCTGGTCTTCAAAATTTTTGTGAATTCACAAACACTTTAAATTTGCACCCCAATATATGTATGTTTATTTAAATATACTTTTTATATTACAATGTAGTTGCTAGAACATACACAGAAACAAACTTGAAATAATAAAAATACACATTATGTTAAAGGACAGGCAGAATTCCAAGGAAAGTGAAGTAACATTTATTGAGGGCCTCCTATAAGCATATTATTCATACATATTATTCCTCTGAGTCCTCAAAACAGCCCCATAAAGAGGCCACTTGTCCATTTTCCAGTGAATTCTCTTCCTTCTTTCCAGCCACCTGTAGCTGGCAGGACTGGAAGCTGGATTTGCAGGGGCTGGCTGGCTACAGAGCACTCCGGCCACCTGGAGGCTCTACATCTTACCAGGAAGGAGAGGGCCTTGCAGGGAGTCAGGAAAAGACCCACCTGGGTTTTGGGGATAACAGTTGCAAAGGTGGGGTCCTGGGATTGGCAGGAGGTTCTGTATGATGTGTTAAGAACCCGGAAGGAGAGCCTTGAATCTAAGCAGTGGGTATGACAGCAGATTGAGCTGGATATGGTTAGTTCTCTCCTTTACCCTCCATATTCAAAGTGCAGCCCAGTTTGTTGGAGATGAAGAAGACCCAAGTCCTTACTCAGGACCTAGTAAGTTTGAATCTGTATTTAATAACAGCAAGGTTGGAGAAGCCCAAAGTCAGGGCTCCTGCCTCTCGAGTTTTCCAGTTTTGGATCTTGAGGAGTCCCAGGGCATATGAAATGCCTTCCAGGAATACGCCCATCACTTGCCTCACACCTTATCTCCCATGGCTCCCATTTCTTAAAGGAACAGCTGATGCCTTCTTAGGTCTGTGAGGCCTCTGGACTGGGCCCTGCTCTCTCTCTGTCCTCCCATCAACTCTGTCTCCAGCCTCTTCACACACTCTGTCCTTGCACTGATTGGGCTTGGTGCTGGCTGTCCTTTCACCTGGCATCCTGTAATTTTTGAGCTCACTTCCTTCAGGAAGCTCTGCTCCCGGGACGGTCCCATTTCCAGCACTTTGCCTGACCCTTGGCCCAGAGAAGGTGCCCAGTAAACATTTGCTGACCAAATGGAGGCTGTGCTCCTGTCTTGCCATCCCCTGGGACCGTCTGTCCCTAAACACCAAGAAGCTGCAGGACCTGAAGTAAGAGCAGAGGCCTTTGGGCTCACCTCCAGCTTTCCAAGACCACCCTGAGGCCGTCCTGTGGGGTGAAGCAGTGTTCCATGTAGCCCGAGACCCTCTGGCATCTCCAATATTCTCTCCTCCTCTCCAGCCTCTCCCTGTTCCCCACAGCACCATCTCCATTTCAGCCTGCACTGGACACAGGCCCTAACTTTGGACACTCTTTTGCTAAGTCCTTGCAGAGCCTGTTTTCAAAGCCCAACTTCTTACTTTCAGATTGGAGAGAAACACCAGGAGAACCACGCAGATGGAGAGTTTCCAACATGGTCTTTGGCATTCACTAGCAGAGAGGTCATCCCTTTTCCCTGCACCTCCATCTCCTCATCCGTTCAATGGTTGCAGCTACTACTTTCTTTGCTGGAGAGGGGATGAGCCTCATGGAGAGAGGAGACTCCTTTTAAAAGTGGGTTTCAGGTCTGAATCATCCCAGAGTTCCAGGCCTTAGGGGCTGGGGTGGAGGGTAAGGCTGGGCTGGGAATGAGGAGGACGGTAAGGGACTTGGGACTGAGAGATGTGGACACATTGCCTTGCCTTGGCCCAACCCAGTGTAACACCCAGCCAGCCTTTTCTGTCGCAGAGCTTAGGTTTGTTCGTTCATATGAATGAGCAGAGGTAAGAGAACCATATCAGAGCTCAGCCTTCATGCACGGAGCACCAAGCCACAGGGGGCTGGAAAGCAGTTTGGAGGCTTCCAAGGCCATCTGCCCTTTTCTCCTGTGGCAATGGCAGCCTGGAAGCTGGAGTAGTCACAGTCCCAGCTCACTAGAAGCTGCTGTGGAGAAAGTGGCATGCATCGCCTGGGCTTTCCCTGAGAGCTGGCCAGTTCCTAGGAATAGATACTTCCTCCCAGGACCAGGAATGAGGCCAACTGGATCCTCGGCTTCCCTGGCTAGGAAGGTGGCCAGGAGCTCAGTAACAGCACCTGTTCCTGAGGAAGCCCAGGTCAAACCAGGCCCTCAGGCGAGGAGCCTGGACCCCTGGGCTGGGGTGGGGGCAGTTGGTGCCCTCATGCATGGAGCTGCCTCCTGTTTGACTCCTTCGCAGTCAGTAGCTATTGCCCAAAGGCCTACTCTGCATAGGCATGGCTCTAGGTGCCACAAACAAAGGCACAGGGCTTTCATGGAGCTCAAAGGTAAGTAGAAGAGCCACAGCAGCCTTTAAATATACAACATTACTCTATGAGGATATAAAATCCTTTCAAGGGAAATAAAGAAGGGTAGGGGTAGGATGCAATTGGATACTTTTAGAGTGGCCAAGATAGGTTTTCCAAGCACGCAACGTTTGAGCAGAGACCTAAAGGAAAAAACATAATGGGCTGAACAGCTAGCTGTGGAAAAAGGCTTCCTAACCCAAGGGAACAGAAAGTGCAAAGGCCCTGAGGTGGGTGCCTGCCAGGCATGTTCAAGGAATACCCAGGAGTATGGCTGGGGATGAAGGGAGCAAGGGGAGTACAGAGCAGATCAATTGAGGCCTTGTGTTCTCACCTGAGAGCTTCTGGTTTTATTCCAAGAGAGGAGATGAAAGGCTCCAGAGAGGTTTTGACTGAAGGAAGGACAAGGCGAGGAGTCCAGGGAGGAAGTGGGGAGCCATCAAGGAGCTGAGAAATGCATTAGTCCAGGTCAAAAATGCGGGTGCAGTGTGTGAGGTGGGTAGGCAGGGTAGTGGGATTTTGGGTTGTCCTGTGACAGCAGAGTCACTGGGATTGGCCAGCAGAATGTGTGTGGAGGATGAGGAAGAGGTGAGTGAAGGACTCCAAGGTGTGTGCCTGTGAAAGCCGACAGGTGGGATCCAGATGGACGTGGGGCAGAAGCAAGCACATGACATGCCCGCAAATCCTGCTCTCAACCTTTCTTTGGATGAGGAAACAGAGGCTCAGATCCGCCCAGGATTGTACAAGTAGCAAGGGGACAGAACTAGAAGTGCGTTCACATGTTTCAGCCACAGGGCTGTTGGTCCCATCAGAACTGGGAAGTCAGTGTTCCACTCACAACGTGCCATATGCCCACGACCCAGCAGCACACCAGTATCGGACTTCACAGAAAGAAATCCTCAAGCCAGCCCTCAGTGCTGCCAGGGTCCCCGAAAGGGCACTGTGGGGCACCCCCAAGCTTACAGCAAAGTAGAAATCAGACTGTACAGTGCTGGGGAGCTGGGGCTGGGAACGAGCCCAGGATTCAAAGCCTAGCTCTGTAGCTCATAAGCTGTGAGCTCTTAGATGAGATGCTTAAGCTATCTGCCTCAGTTTTCTCACCTGTGAAATGATAAGAATTGCATCCATGTAAGAGAACTATAGTGGAAAAAAAAGAGAGCTATAGTGAGAAGTCATGCTGAAAACCTTCGGGCTACAGTTTGGCACAGACTCCCATATTTTAGCAATGATTAGTTTTCCTATCAGGTCTCTCGAACCCAGGTCTCTCGATGCACAACCAAGGCCACTAGCTTTCTGCCTCAACAAGCATCCACTCTGCAGGGATCCGCCACCCTACAGAGGTGGTGGGAAGCTCAGTTCCACACAGATGGGATCTGCTTTGGGTGGAGCCAGATCCAGGAGCCCAGAACAGTGTTTAGGGCCTGACAGTGCAGTCCCACCCCTGATGAGCTCGGGCAAGCTGCCTGCCTGCCTGCCTGCCTGCCTGCCTGCGAGTGGCTGCCTGGCTGACTTTCCTGGGAAAGCACTAATTACCACATGGCTCCCTCAGGGTCTGGCTCTGTGATCTGTCACAGCCCCTCAGCCTGTGACTGCTGGCTGCAGTGTCTGAGCCAGAGCTGCCCTACTCTGCCTTGCCCCTCAGGAAAGGACAGGAGCTAGGCTGACTAACAAACGGGGAAGCTGGGGCTGCGTTCACAGACTGTTCCCACCTGGGCCTCAGCAGCCTCCTAGTCAGTGGTTCTCAAAGTGTGGGTCCAGAGCAACAGCATGAACATTTACTGGAAATGCAACTTCTCAGGCCTCACCTGCGATCTACTGAATTCCACACTCTGGGATCCATTTTTAAAATCCATCCAGGTGATGCCAAAATCCGCTCAAGTTGGAGAAATCCAGCTGATTCCTGGGCAGCTGTGGCCAAAAATAGGGGGTTATGGAAGGGTGACGGAGAAGTGGGGTGAGTTAAAGCTTGTGGAGATGCGCCTTCAAATCTATGCTCTGCCAGTGCCTTACCCTGTGAGCTGGGAAAGGCTACTTTCTTATATAATAGATACTTATTGATGGCATACTGTTTGTTGTTGAAGGCCCCATCTCTGCAGCAGCCAACATTAACTCTTCGCCATTAGAAAAGACCTCTTATGGGCTGGAGATTTAGCTCAGCGGCATAAGCACCTGCCTTGCAAGCAGGCAGCCGTGAGTTCGATCCCCAGTACCAATAAAAAGGAAAAAGAAAAAAAAAAAGAAAAGACCTCTTAGATATGCAGCCCTAACATCACCCTAATCTGCAAGTGAGAAGACAGATTACTAAAATATCTCTCCCACTCTTCCAGCTAGTCTGAGACAGCCCTGGGGTCTGAACCTCAGGATCTGCTTCCAGAGCCAAGGGATAAGCCACTGGGCTATGCTGACTAGTAACTAGTGGGAGGGGGACAAAAATGTGATGCAGACACAGGCTCTTGGCAGGTCCCAATGATGCTGTCCAGACAGAGTAGGGAAGTGGACAGGGCAGGCTAGAGCTGGGATGACTACTCTAATAGGATGCTCTGCTGAAGCGTCTGAGGAAGTGGCGATGATAGGGAGGGGAGCTCTCAGAGTCTGCTCTGTGAGCTGTAAAGTGAGAAGGTCATGAACTCCCTCCACATGTGGCATGAATACATCTCAGAAGCAAGCCTGCAAAGCACAGCAGATGCTGACTAATGGGAACTGCTGTTTCCTGCAGAACTGAGTTCAAATCCTGACAGCTCAGGTATCCTTCAGATGCTACTTGAGGCGAGTTACTCCATCCCTCTGGGCCTCAGTTTCCACAGTTGTATCCTAGAATGACAGCAGTCACCTAAGAAGAGCTGTGGAGAGCCTTGGCAATGACCCACCTAAGACTCTGAGCACAAGAAAAGACTCCCCCACAACCCAAATCCCAGCTCTCTTCATCTCCAGCCTGGTCAGCAGCCCTGCATGATTCCCAGGGCCAAGCAGCCAGGAGTCCACACTGTTTTTATTTTTATTGTTCTGGCTCCACAGCTGAGGCCTCCAGCTCCAAATGGCTCCTCTTGCCCAGAAAAATAGGTCGTTGGCAGCTTCAGCCTCTTGACAGGCCCCACACAAAGGCAGCCTGGCAGGCTCGCCTGCTGACTGACGCAGGCCAGGTTACGGGAAGCCAGGAGCAAGCATGGGCAAGGCTGTGCCTGTATGGGCAGAGTGGGTCCCTGCAGGTTTCAACACACCTGGCACAGTGGCCCTGTTCAAGTCACTTTCTACCTCTTCCCTTGTTCCTCACCTCCAGGAACCCAGCAGAGCTCAGGGATTGCATGAGAGGACAGGCAGGAAGAGCATGCCACTGCAGGTGGGCACAGTTTAGAGGCTTTTCACACATTGGGGCACAGGGACCACTCTTAGCAAGATTGTCCAGTCATTACTATTTTGCATAGTGAGGCACAAAACCTCTTTTTCCTTTCAAGTTGTATAAGTCAAATATCTTGGCTGGGTCTTAACTTCAAAGGCCCAGATCCCTGCTCCCCACACTCAATTCAGGCCTTCTCCTGCAGACCCCTAGACAACAAGGTAAGGATCAGAGCTGACTATGTAAAAGCATTCCCCAGCTGCTAAGCAAGGGGTAGATGGACAGTGTAATGGGTCAGCCAGGTAACAGATGTCAGAGTGTTGGCCCAGGGGAGTAGTGACAGACATACTAGCCCAGGACATTAACAGCAGAGGAGCTGAAAGCGGCTTAGTTCTGGGTATGGTAGGAAAGCCCAGTCTTTGGGTCACTGACAGCACAGCCAGGGGTAGCAGAAAAGCCAAAAAGCCAGTGCAGGATGGAACTCCCTCTGGCTTTCCACTGTCTTTCCCCGTGAGACCTCCCTGACCACTTTTAAAAACTGTGCCTGCTTCCTGGGCATGGTAGCACACACCTGTAACCCCAGCACTGGGGGGCTGGGGCAGAAGGGTCACTGCAAGTTCAAGGGCAGCCTGGTGAACTCAAGGCCAACCTAACCTACAAAAAGAGACCCTATCTCCAAAAAACAAAACAAAAATAAAAACAAAAAATTGTGCTGCCCTAACACCAGCACTCCTGGGCCCCTTTCCAGCTTATTCCTTCCAAGCACATATCCCCATTTAATACTACACATTTTAACTACTGACTTGCTTGCTTCTTCCTGCTAGAATGTCAGCTCCTTAAAGGCAAGCATGTGTGTGTGCGTGCGCACGTGTGTGTGTGTGTGTGTGTGTGTGTGTGTGTGTGTTTCCAACTGCAGCATGCCCACTGCCTAGCATAGTGCTTGGCATACAGTGATGCTTAATAAATAGTGGGGAGTACATGTTGTATGAGATGTCTAAGAAGATAGATTTTAATCCAGGATAGCCAGATGGTTGCTCTGGGAGTGGCTGACTTATATCAATTATCTGCCATAATCTTTCTATGGGACCTCAAGCGAATTGACACCCCAATATGTTAACTGCTCTCCATGGTCTCTGATGATGTGTAATTTTTAGATGAAAGCAGAAAAAGGGATTCCTCCCTCTACCCTAGGGGCAAAAGGGGCCCTGTATTGGGAAGCCCTGCTGAGCACCTTTGCCAAAGGTGCTGTATATAAATAGCAGGTGCTTCTTTATTATCCTCCTAATCCCTAGCTTCCTAATCCCAAGCAGGTTTGTGTGTGTACTCTGGGGAACCATGAACAGCAAAGTCTTCTGGAAACCTCTGCAGGAAGCTCCCTCATCTCTGACCTTATCATAGCAAACCCTCTCTCTCTCTCTTACACACACACACACATACCCTAGAGGGAATCTGGTACTGAATTTTCCCAGGAGCCCCACTGGTCACCTTCATGGCTCTGCAGATGCAGATGTGGTCTGATGAGCTGAAGACTCTCCCTGTAAGCCCCCATCAGATGACCCTAGAGTAACTTTCCTCCCTGACTCCCAATCCCACCCTCCAACCTGCTCTGCACTGGCAGAAGACTGGCCTTGAGAACACATCAGACCAGCGTAGTTCAGCGCTCAACTCTCCACCAGCTCCTATTCGCAGAGTACTGCAGGCCCTTTCCCTCAACCACCAGCCAAGCTGGCCTCAGGACCTTTATCTATGCTGCTCCCCTTTCTGAGTCACCTTTCTCCACACAGCTTTGCTCTGCTTTCCCTCATCATGTCTGAATGAGCTCAGCCTACTCCCTAAGCTGATCCTCTGTGTTTGCTCATTTTTCTTCTTGCCTACTTCTGTGTCCTCTATTACAATGTGGAACCTTCCAGGATGGGGACCCACTATAATCTCTCATGCTCAGAGAAATGAAAATTCCCAAGAACTGCTGCCAAACACTCACCTTTGAAATATTTTCACTGCACTTGGTACATGCTAGGTTCTTTTTTAAATATGCAAATATTAAGCCACCTAATCCTCACAATGGCCTTTTTAAGTTGGTCTCATTTCAGATGAGGAAGATGGGGCACAGAAACTATAAGGTATTTTCCGAGGTTTACAAGGTTGGTAAGACACAGAAGGACATAAGCCTGGGGAGTTAGGTGCATCCACTCAACAACCTGTCTCCCTCTTGTCTTAGCAGAAAAGCAAGACCAGAGCTATCACCAGGTGCCAGAGAGGGAAGGAGTGACACTGCCAAGGTCCTCAGCCTGGAAATCAAAGGTTCGCATCTCCTCTGTTCCCAGGCCTCACTGAGTCAGTGGCCTTGGGTAGCCTATCTCCTGGCACTCTGGGCCCCAGCTCCTCCATTCACCCAACGGGGCCTTCTCCAGCTTGGTTTCACTGTCCCTTAACTGCCACCCTGTGAGGCAAAATTAGTTCTATCTGAGCTTACTTCCAACTCAGCAACTCTCCAATTAGTGGAGGGTCCTGAACGCCTTTCCCTCCCTCTGCTCCTGACCAGCTCTCCAGCTCCCTGGCTTCCTGGCTCCCGCCTGACCTGGCTGCTGTTGTGAACACAGACTCCTCAGAGAAGAGCGAAAAAGCAGCGTTTTCCACCGGGAGGCTCTGTCCTCTGGGATCCAGCCAGTCCTCCACTCCTCTTCCTCGATGCCTGTCAATGCCTCAGAGCCCAGGCCTTTAAGGTGTCCTGTCCCCCACGCCCATTTCTGGCCCTTCCCAAGCCCCTGAGTCTGCCCTCCCTGGAGAAGCCGCCTCCGGGAAGAGCCGGACCCTGCCCCTCTCTGCGCTGCCCGCTCTCCCCACCGCGGCCCCCTCCCGGCCGCGCTCCCCCCAGCGCCTCCCTTCCCAGCGGTACTGAAGTCCTTCCTACACACGCGCTATTTTTGTACCATCACTCTCTCCTTCCTCCCCTCTTCCCCCTGCATTCACTTCCTGCTTCTGCTTTTCCCCCGGCCCAGCTAGGAAAGATCTAGGCCCCTCTGGCCGGCACCTACCCCACCGCGGACCCTCAGCGCTGGGACCCCGGGGAAGGCCACTCGGGAGGGGCAAAAGACAAACCACCCACCCCCGCTGCTCCCCTCCACCGCGCCGCCCGCAGCCTCTGGCGGGCGGGAAGCTGGGACCCAACCACCCTGCGGGAGCGCGCAGCCAGGGGGAGGTCGGCCGCAACTTCCCCAGTCCACCTTAAGAAGAGGATGTAACCAGTTTGCGGTGCTGACCTTACAAAAACAAGTTTGCGCAAAGTGGAGCGGCGGGCCGACGTCTGGGCAGCCCCGGCGGCGCTTCCTACGCCTCGCAGCCTACCCGGCGGCGCAGGTCCGAGCTGGCCCAGGAGCAGAGCGGCGGGGAGGGGAGAGGACGGCGCTTAGGGGCCGGGGCGCGCTGCACGGGCCGGGGACTGGCGCCCCGAGAGCCAGAGCCGGAGCCTGAAGGTCCGGAGGCCGAACTGGCAGCGCGGCGGCAGCTGCTCGGGGCTGCGGCCGTGACCCGTGCGAGGTGCTAGGGCCCGCGCGGGGGCGACACTCGCCGCTCTCCGGCCCCGCGGGAGGCGCGCAGCCCCGCTCCCACCTCCGGGCGCGCTGCTGGCGGCAGACGTGGGGCAAGGAGGTACCGGCGGCCAGACTCGGCAGCCTCCCTGGGCGGGCACAGGGAAGGAACAGGCTGGGCTGCGGGCTCCGGACTCCAGGCAGGCGCGACGCCGGGACCTCAGTGGGCGTGCAGCACGGAGCCGGGCGGGGCAGGTGGCAGTGGCGGGGACGGCTGTGCTCCGGCCGGGCCGTCGCGCTGCCCCGGCCCTGCCCTCGCCGCGCGCTCTCCCCGCTCTGCCGCGCTGTCTGGCTGCGCCGCGCGCCGCCCGCGCGCTCTCCCCCTCTCCCTCGCGCTCCCCCTGTTTGCCTCCCAGTGTCTCTGGCTCTCCGCCTGGCTCCCTCGGGTCTGTCCCTCTCCCGCCTCCTCCGCCTCCGGGCCATCTCTGGCTTCGTTTCGCGCGCTCTCGGGTCTCTCCTGCTGCGTCTCCTGATCTCTCCCGGGCCGCAGGGCTTGGGGGTGTTGGGAGGGGTCCTCCCACCACAACCGCCGCGGCGGTGGATCCTCGGAGCGCCTTGCTTGAAGGGGAGGGGAAGAGCGGGGAAGGGGGGAGCCTTAGTCATTTCCCCGCTCCAGCCTGTGCCGCCCGGGCGCGCACTCACGGCCGCTTTCCCTCCTCGCTCCGCAGCCGCGGCCCATGGAGCCCGCCGGCCCGGCCCCCGGCCACCTCGGGCCGCTACTCTACCTGCTGCTCGCCGCATCTCATGCCTGGCCAGGTAAGCACCCCTACTTCCCGCCACTGCCCTCCTCAAACTGCGGGCTCAGGCCTCTCAGATCGCCACTGGGAGTTGCCGAGCTATCGCTGAACAGCCCCAGTCAGGAGAGGTGTCTGTAACCAGGGTTACAGATGCGGATACGGGGACCCAGAGAGGGTCGGCGACTTAGCCAAGGTCACACAGCCAGGGCTAGAACCCAGAATAGAACTCTTTCTATGAAGGCCTGTCTCCAAGGACTGTGACAATGTAGTACTGTGCCGGGCACTGGAGCTTAGAGATGAGTTGTTTCGCCCAGCCCTTGCCTGGGTGGGAGACGCAGGAGAACAGAGGCTTTCAGAACAGGGCACCCTGGTGTCTCTAGAAGCTAGATTCATGTTTTCCACGGTTTTGACATGGGATCTGAGAGAGGAGATGGGGGCAAAGGTGCTCCCCGAAATGAAGCCAAAACAGGCTGTGGGATTGGGTAAGAGTGCCCCTCTGGTCCTCAGAGTCCACAGTGTTAGTGGATGAAAAGCGAGGGAGAGAGGAAGCAGGCTCAGGGACTACTGAGATCAACAGTTCCTTCCTGAAATTGTGGTGGACGTTCCCTGTGTTGGCATAGCATCTGGCAGCAGCGTGGTCCCCCACCTTGCTTGCCTCTGCTGCTCCCCTCTCCTGCTGCTGTCCTGGGCTTCCAGGCAGCCCCTGCAGTTCAGGTGTTCCGCGGGGCTGTTACCTGTGGCTCCAAGCGTGTCTTTTTGTCGGTCTGCATCAAACACCTGGCTGTCTCAGACAAGCGGGCTCTGAAGGCTACTGTGTGTGTTCGCCAAGGGGTGAGGTCACCATTTCGGAGTTCTGTTTCTTAAAGGGGTTCTGCAAAACCGTGGGTCCCCAGGAAGGGTTTGAGGGGCACAAAAATGGAGTTGGGGAGGGAGAGGGGAATGGGGATCTTGTTTTGTGGTCTCTGGAGGCTGCATTCTGGGTAGAGGGGTGCCTGTACCTCCCACCCTTGGGCAGGGAGGTAAAGATGAGCTCACCATCGCCCCCCTACCCCACCACATTTGCCTAGATACTGGTAACCATCTGATAGCAAGGAGAAAGAACTAGCAAAGAGTGGGTGGAAGGAGAAGTTGGGGGGATGGACAGCAGCTTTTCCCTGCCTGGTAGTATCCCCTGAACCCCACAAGTGCCCCCACACCCCTAGTTCTTTTCATTTAGAACCAGCTCTTTGCAGGGTGGATAGAAACACTAGTAGATTTCATGTCTCTCCTCTGAGTGGATCTCATCTGCACTTTCTTGCCTGAGCCTGCCATTTATCTCTACAAAAAAACGTTCGAGCTCCTGCCCTACTCCCCTCCAGCTGGCTTAGAAATGCACAGGCAGCTCTCATGAGTACTTAATTTTCCTGAAGCAGGGCCCAAGTTAATTTCTAAATGTCTGTTCTAGACCCTCTCTGCCCAGGACCCTGTAGTTCAGTCCCTGGCAAATGAGGGGTGACACTGATTAACCAGTGTTCACGTGGGCAGCCTGCCTTAGCTGGGGCACTGGCTGGAAACGCTAACACCTTTCTTGTGAGCATGTCTCCCCTCCCTTTGCCTGTAAAAACAATCTATAAAATGGTAAAGATTGGGCCATAAAACTTCCGTTCCAATCCATTCAGCATCAATAGCCTGAGAAAGTGGGAGCAGCATAGGGGCCCGGATTAACTTTGAAATAAATAAATCTTTGGAAGCAAGGGTAAATTTCTCGGTTGGGGACAGTAGGAAAGGGATGAGGTATGGCCATCGGAGCTCCCAGCAGCCTCCTCTGCATTTCTCTGGGGTTCTGGGGCCATCCTGGGCCAGCTCGAATTCACTTGGTCTGGCTGAAAGGTGAGACTTCAGATCCCCGCTTTGTAGTTTGATGCATGACATTTATGACAAAGCAGAAGAGAGACAGGATAGAAGGGCAGGAACATAGAAGAAGGCAGTTGTCCAATTTTCAAAGAAAATGGATTTGTTCGACTGAGAATCTCAAATGTCAGGCTTAGGAAGGCAGTTTTGGATTGAATGACTTAGTGTGTGTCAGGCAGAGCTGTCATCCTGGGAGGTGTCACATGATCACTGTGGCTTCACATGATCACTGTCAGTGGTGGGGTGCTGGTCATGTGAATTATCCTAGTTGGGGGTGGCAGGTTAAGAAGTTTCCAAAGATTGAGTTTGACACAAGTTCTTGCCAAAGGGAAATTCTAAAAAGATTCCGATGAAGTCACCACGCTGTGTTCTTGGGGGCAGTGTAAGGGCTAAATGGTTTTCTGACACAAATTTTACTGAGGGAAACTTGGGACACCTCGGGTGCCTGACTCTGGGGCTGCACTGCCTGACACTGAACCTGCAGGCTACCTGCTTTGTCTCACGTAGGCCGTGGGGGCCTTATAGTCACCTCCGGACAGACCTCAGGTGAACCTCTTTGCCTTGGCCTAAAGGAGGCCAAGCCAAGTTGGGGTTCTAGCCTTAGGGGCATTGGGACCCTCCATGAGCCTCTGACCCTTGGTAGAGGGTGGCATTTTGGTGACTCCTCTGTACTTTCCTTAGTGGTAAAATTGCTCTCACTTCCTGTTTCATAGGAAGAGACAAGGTAGGGGTTTGGCTGTGCTACAGCCAAGCTGTGGGGAGGTCTTGTAAAGCCTTAAAGTTCTCTGGGTACTTCCTGGCCATTACATATTCTTTTGCCAACCCCACAGAGACTCATGGCGTGATTCATTCCTTTACTTGCAGTCAGCACTGATGAAGTCCTAATGTGAACCATGTGTTGAGAGAGGGAGGCGAAGCAGTGTTTATTAAACAGTTAACTGCATTCCTGGCTGTGAGCTCTAGCTGTGTTATCTCACTCATCAGCCATGCAGGAGTTGGCTCTTACCCCATCTTATAGATGAGGAAAATTGAGTCAAAATTGGAGTGTAACCTGCCCAAGAAGTTAGTGATAAGTGCCTTCCTGCTAGTTGATTCTGATAGAAGCAATTAAATGACTGGGTCTGGATTTCATAGTCCAAGCTTGGGGGATGGAGTGGAGAGGAGAAGCCCTCTTGGGCTTAGACAGAGAGTTAGGGCCTGGCTCCTTCTCTGGGCAGAAGTTTTATACACAGGTATCCTCTGAAAGCCGCCCAAGAGTGTGGCTCTGGCAGCCTCTTGACCTTCCAGGTGACAACACATGGGGAGTGATACAGTTCCTACAGGAGCCCCCCCATCGGGGCTGTGGAGCTCTGGAGCCCCCAGAGCTAGGATTTGCCTGCATCTTCCTGGTGCCCTTTGCGACAGATGGAGAGGGGGTGTGGGAGAGGAAGGGAGTCTAAAAGTGTTGTGCGGATCCCACACACACCGCTCCTGCTTCCAAGGGCTCTGTGCGACAGGTTATTTTTTTATTTGTAGCCTTGGATTGACAAAGGTTCTCCCTCCCCTTTCTTTTCAAATGTGCTCAGATTTGTTGCCTGTCAACACAACTCTGATCATGTCACTCTTCAACTCGAAACTATTGAGCTGTTGGTCCAAGTTTTCTTTAAAAAAACAAACAACTATAGCAGCAGGGCCTGGGCAGCCTCCCTGAACAAGCCCTATTTCTCACCACATTTTCCAGCAGGCTGACCTATTGGGTTGCAGCAGGAAACAGGGCTTCCTCCAGCAGCCTGGAACGTTAGAACCTGGAAGATCAGAAGAGAATCCTTAGTTCAACACAATTGCCCCAATGTTACCAGAACAAGGAACAAAATGCATTTGATTTATGTAACAGCATTAATATACAGCCTAATCTAGTATGACTTTTGAACTAACCCATACTTCTTATCTCTGTCCCTTTGCCTAGGCTGTTCCTACCATCAGACATGCCCTTCCGTATCCTTGTCTCCCTCCTTGCCTCTTATATCTGAACCCTACTGTACCTCCTGCTCAGTGATTTCTTCCTTGTCTGAGCCTCCAACTATGGATTTTTATCTGCTCCTATCTGAGGCTGCTTACTGCACCCACCCTCCTTGTGCTGCGTGTTTAACTCTCATACCTGCTTCTGCAGCCTTAGCAACCGTTTAGCTTCTCCACACAGAGATACAACACAGTCTAGTGCAGTGGCGCTGATCCTATGGCACGTGTGCCACAGTGGGCCCGTTGTGTCACCAAGAGCTCTGAAAGGTTCGCCACCACTGGTCTAGTGCTACCCAGTGCTGAAGGCCCTGGGTGGGCCCTGGCTGCCTACTTGGACAGTTTGCTAAGCTTCTCTGGAGCTGAGTTTTCTCCTCTGTAAATCAAGGATGAAATTGCCAGCTCTGTTGCAAAGACTAAGTACATACATACGTATATGATCTTCAAGCAAGCTGCTGTGTAGTCAACACTCGGTAAAGGTTAGTAATTGTAGCAATCAGTATTTGTTATGATTTCTTCAAGTGTAAAGTTGGGACTTTGGTAAAGCATCTAGCAGCGCTCTGGATGCATAGTGAGGGCTCAGAAAGCAACCAGAGTGACCCAGTGAATATCGATGCTCTGCCGCTTGTTTTCCCTGAAGCTTTTGTGCTGTTGGGGGATGGATAGGTTGCGCAGAAACCCAGGCTGGTGCTCTGTAATTGCAGGTTTCAGGGCTGAGCACAGCCTTGGATGAGACCTGCCTCTAGGTGGCTCTGTCTGGATCCACAGGTCTGGAATTGTGCAGTGCTGGCCCTGGAAAGGAAAGGCTCCATCCCCTCCCCAGGCACCTCACAGTGCAGCTCAAGAGAGAGAAAACACAGACCTGGGGCCAGCCTTGGTAGGATGCCAAGCTGCCTGGGGTCCAGGCCAAGGCTTCTTAAAACTGAGCTGTGCTGGAAGTTTCCATTGTGAAACCCAGAGATCTGGCAGGACCCTGAATTCCATGAGAAAATACTAAAGTAGTAATAGGAACCATCATTTGTGGCCAGTTCCTAGGCTCAGTGCTGGGTGTGTGTGATCCAGTGGTACTCACAGCAGTCCTGAGTACTATGCAACGGTATCATCTGATTCATTTGACTGGTGAAGAAATGGAGA